GGCCGTGTCCCCGGCGGGCGGGTGGCCTGGCTCCCCGCAAGGTACGGTTTAGCCTCTCCCGCCGTTCCCGCAGCAGAAGCGCCGCGCAGGCCCGGGGAGGCTTGATGCGCTCCTTCCTCTCATCCCCGCATGACCGCGGTGGGTGCTTAAACCAGACGGTGCCAGCAGGGAGCGAACAACCGCCGAGCTTCCAGGCTCGACGGAAGCGGTTTCCCTTTCCCGAGGAGGAAAACAAAATGAATCGGTGAACGCGGCGCTAGGAGGGAGCGAGCGCTGCCCTCAGCGCGTCATGCGGGAGCGGAGCAGCTGCTCGGCCCGCGGGGAGCAGGCAGGAGAGGGCCCTGTACGTGGTGAAACATTGTGCATCACAGCAGTAGGTGCTGGGCTGCCCAGGCTGCGGGAGAGTGAAGAAACTCCTCTTTCACAGCTACGTTCTGTTCGGTGCCCTAGGTCGGTTTACGCAGCCGTTCTTGGGAGAGTCCTCCCGTTCCAAAGGGCTGGAATGCCGTCCGTCTGTCTTGTCTGCACATCCCGGGACTTGCAGTTAATTCATGGGTAGGAACACTACCTGCTTAAGAAAATATTTCCTGTGAGCAATTCTGTTGTTTTAACAGCTACTAGTCTTCTTGCAGGCAGCAGGATGTAAACTCTAAAGCTGAGGAAATTCTAAAAAAAAGGCAACAGGTTAAGGTCCCTAGAACATTGTGAGAATGCTGTGTTTTCACACAGGTGTAATATTACACGCTGTCTTTAACATCAGAAGCAACTGAAGTAGCCTGACTATTATAATCAAGTGTGCCAGAACAAGGATTACTTCAGGAAGTCTGAAGTCACCACCCATACAGGTTGTTTCACCATGGCATTTTGTGAATGAAACACAGAAGGTAAAAGGAACACAGGGCCATAATCAGCCAAATGGCACGAGCAGTTTCTCATTTTTTAACTGTATGACAATATATTTCTGGTGCTTGTCATAGCTCTGGGAACCTCAGGCTAAGCTCCAGCAAAATAGAATTTAAATATTCCAAAGAATATTTTCCTTTAAAGATTTGCTACTTGTCCTACTTAGTTTAGTTAAATCACTTCTTAATATATAAGGAGTTAAAAGGTAGGAACTACTTCACTACCCATAATAGCTTTTGGTTTTGTTGTGTTTGTTTTTTTTCTCCCAGTTCCTTCACTCGTTTCTCTGGACAGTCTTTTCACTCAATTGAGATTTTCTCTTGTATAGAGTGACATCTACAAGCTATCTTTTGTCTACAAATCAAAGGTGTGAGGTGATAACCACATATTCTAAAATCGCTTTGGGGTGGAATTTTTAGGCCTGTCCCTATTTTCTTTGGAAAATTAATCTAATGTGCTTGATATTTCAGAAATAGTAACTCGGAATTCAATGCATTTTAAGCTATGAAATATAGAAGGCATTTTTGAAGTTGCCATGAGGGACAGACCTGGTGTTTGCAGACATCATGTATCAGAGATTCTCTGACCTTGGATTTTGTTGTTAATTTCAGTGTCAATTAGGCTGTTGACTGTAGAGCCTGGCAGCACTGCCACTGCCATGTAAATGAAGCAAGAAGCTTATCTGTATGCAATTGATTAGTCATATGTTGTGCACCAAGAAAGAGCCTGAAATAAAAGCAAGATGAAAAGTGATTAGACTGTTAATATAGCTTTTGTAATTTTATGGCATGTCAAAACTGTTACCCGTGTTCTACAGGCTTGGAACAATCACATTAGATCTCTAAAGCAGCAGGCTGCACAGATTAAGTTAGAACTAAAAAGGAGTTTGTCTTGTCAATAAATAGTATATCCAGAACTTAAATTCCTAATATTGCAGAGAACCTGCTATGAGTTGCACCCAACAAAACACTGTTTTCTTTAGAAAATAATGCTGAATGTCCCTTTCCTCAGCATTTGATTCATTGGTCCTGATTCGCATTCTATTTACTCCTCTATAGTTTAAGACTTTTTTAAAAAATCCAATTTTGGTACATGAAACACAGATCTGCCAAAAGGTCTGGGTACTGAAGAACTGTCAAAAGAGTTCTGTGTATATAAATCATGGTGCAGACTCTAAATTCAGTTGTTGTGCAATGGGCAGCTGTAATATCTTTAATGATGAAAGTACAGGTGATTTTATATTCCAGTTGTTCCTTTGCAGGGTTTTCACAGCCTACAAACAGAAGTAAACTTCTTTTATGGCCACTGAGTGCTTTGAAAACACCATAAAGGTTTGGATCATTGATGAGTTGCTGAGAAAATATCTGATAAGATTCTGTCGTTCAAGAATGTTCTACATTTCCAGGAAAAAAAGAAAAAAGGAAAAAAATAGAACAACAAATGCACAAGAAAAACCCCATGGGCAAGCTATGACCCCTTCAGCCTGAACAATAGTATTATGTGAACAGGACATGTACTACCGTCTCTTATTTTGCAAACTATAAAAAAGCCATATTACCTTTCTGTTATTCAGAAGTATTTCATAGCCTTTTGTGGTCACAGGCTTCCTGCTAGTTACACTAATCTCATGTATTGAATGTAAGAAAGAAG